CCCTTATTAAACATTCCCTTGAATATCCAGAATATGTGAAAGAATTTTTCTGCTGTGTTAACCTCACTTAAGATAAAAGGAAATGACTTTCCTATACTTTTAAAGCAACCTTCCGCTGGTTTAATAAAAACAGAATGTTGTTATTACAATGGCTGTGTAGGGAGGGGGTTCATATCCATCCTATCAACTTCCTTCAACTTCTTAAGAAAAAGATCACTGCTTTAGGAACCTTCAAAAGGCCATGGGATTTCAGAAGGAGATCAAAGCAAAACAATCTGAATAAAAGGGACTTAAATAATATAGGAAGAAGAATTCTCAGGGAAATCAAAATCAGTTCTAAGTTCTACAAACATTTTAATACAGCCCTATCAGAACAAAGTTGATCCAAAATAATGAGATTATCAAAAACCCAATTAACCCTAATACTGATAGGACTTTAACAACTATTGTTTATCTTATTTCCATTGTGTTTCTATTTAATATACAAGCTGATAATCTAGCATTGTCCAGGTATTTATTTATAGCGGGGAAACGTCAGGACATAATTTCTAATGTTGGATTTTTCCCCTTACCAGAGGGAGCCCCCTTGTGGAGTACCGTGAAGCTATTACCATGGCAACTCCACTGCGCTGTACAATAGAAGCCATTTTATGACAGTACAGTAGAATCCATTTTAAGGCACAACAAGCTGTATCTTAATGGAACACACACCCAGAGGGGTTTTAAGGGTGTCTTATCCCCACAGTATTTTTTTCCAGAGTGTAAGTCATCTGTGTACCAAGTTTGGTTGAAATTGTTTGAAGCGTTCCAGATTTACTCAGGTAAACAAAGCTTCAAAACACAACCAAAAGCTCAAATTGTTAACTGAATTATTTGACTAAGATAACTTTAATCTTTTTAAAATCGTCTTTCCGTTGAATTCTTATTTAATATATTGTGAAATTTGCCAGTTGTGAGAATTTCTAGGCATCAATACCCAGGTAAATAAAGCATCACAATGCACCCTAACTAAATTTAATTTAATTGGTTGACTAAAACAATATTAATCTGCTTAATGTCTGTGGAGATGCTTAGTCATAGTTGGATGAGAAGCAATACGCCTTCAAAGAAAAACCAGAAAGTCCAGTTGCCTCTGCAAAAAGCACCTTTGGGACATTTTAATCAGCTTGTTTATCTTCTTTCTATTGTGTCCCTATATACTATGTGGTAAATTTACCACTTGTGAGAGTTTCTAGGAATATATTTCCAGGTAAACAAAGCATAAGCATAAATCTCTATAAAACATACCATACCATTCTTCTGCTTTCCCTGTTATAGATCTGAAGGAACTTGGCAACAGCTTTTCAGATTAACAAAATCTTATTAAAAAAATGGGTTCATTTAATCAGAGGCATGGATTGTCGATTCTGATGTAGGATTTAAATTGGCATAAGAGAAAAAGAAAGGAAGGGAAGACTGGTTAATTATGCCGATACAGGTTATTTGTGAAACAGATTATAAATATTTTATCAATTAATGGTTGTAGCAGTGAAATACCATTGCAATCTAACCCAATATCTGCTTAATAATACTGATAATGTATGGTCTCTGGTCTATGACTGTAATACATTCTGATTGATTGATAACGATAATATTTCATTTTTTCCACAATGATTAATTAGAGCTCTGCAATTAAGTATTTTACAAAGTTCAAATGTTATCATCCACCATTATGAGCTTTTAATAATTTTAGGATTTCTGATAGTTCCAGCAAGAACTATTAAAATAAAAAAAAGAATATTCTTGACAGATTTAGTCCAGAAGGAGACATACTATTACTAACCATATGTGTTTACAGATAATTCAAAACATATCAATTCAGAATATATTTAAAACATGGGACAGATCCATAACACCTGTTTCAGAAACTTCCAAAAATGCCATAGCAAAAGTTTCCACAGCATTCAAAAAACTGGTGGCTGCTGGATTCTATCTGCTTTGAATTAAAGGAATTATATCAGTTACAAATCTAATATGATATTATTATAATCTGGATTGTATATAAACCCAATTTGAACTGCACTCATGATAACTGAAAGTACAAGCAGTGAAGCTGTAGCCAAAGTAGCTATTAAAATCTTAAACACTCAAATTGATTAAAGAACTAGGTTGAAATTGAAATCAAGTCAGGTCTTCATCCAGTTTAAGGAAGGTGAAAATTCCTATTTGGAAATGTGCAAAGCATCAGGATCTACATATCAAGGAAATGTGCATGCATTAAGATAAACTGAGTTATTCAAATATTGCATTCTAGGAGAAGTTACAAATAACAAATGAAGTTGGTTTTATTTTAAAGGGTCTTTTAAATTTCATGAAACAAGCAAAAAGCATTACAAGATTTTTAAAGTGCAGCTTGTAATTATTTTTCTTGGCAAAAGCTGTATATTAGGCAAAATCACAAACCAAATGGGCATGTTAAAAGAATTATGCACAGAATGACCTAACAATAACCTAATCCTCAAGTTATGACTACAACTGAGAGAAGAATTTTGGTTGCTAAGCAAGGCAGTAGTTAAGTGAATCACTGCAATTCAGGGAATCCTGTGGTCATTGCGAATCTGGCTTCCCCCATTGACTTAGCATGTCAGAAGCCAGCTGGGGAGGTCGCAAGTAACAATCATATGATCTTAGCATGTTGCAACCATTGTACATACATGCGGCTTGCCAAGTGCCTGAATTTTGATCATGTGATTGTGGAGATGCTGTGACAGTCAAAAGTGCGGGGAACAGTTGCGTGTTACTTTTTTGAGTGCTGTGGTAACTTTGAAAAATTCACTAAATGAATGGTCATAAGTTGAAGATGTCTGAAGTGCATACTTTAAAAAACAAACTGAAAGAGGATTCAGTGAAGAGGTGGTATTCAGCCGGTTTGTACCGGTTCGCCCAAACCAGTGGCAGAAATTTTGCCCATTCGGCGAACCGGTATTGATGGCCGCTGGCCACGCTCCAAACTGGTCCTCCTGTCACCAGTTGCTCACCCTGCTCGCCTGCTCACCACTCACTTGCACCCCCTCTTTGCATACTGGCTCTCAAAGTGGCCGGTGGCTGGCTGCAGGTCGCTGAAAAGTCCTCTGGTTGGCGAAAAAGTGGCTGCCATTGCCATCTTCTTCGCGCATGTGCATCCCATTGCCTTGCAAATCCACTTGGGCATGAACTTGAATGATGTCAAGTTGGCCATGCCCACACAGTCACATGCCCCCCCACCTAGCCACGCCCACTGAACCGGTAACAAGAATTTTTGAATCCCACCACTGGTGGGAAAGGAAGACAAACCACAACTGACATATTTCTTCCTCCTAGTCTGAGCCAATGTGGAAATATTAGGTATGATTCTTGCCCCCCCAAAAGGGGGTTTGCTTTGAAACTAACATTCTTTCTCTACCATTCATATAAGCAACCCTGGTTGGGAAGCCACATGACCTGGACACTGTCTTAAATTCTTAATTCATACTTCAATATTCATGATGAGCTTATGAATTCACAATGGTACATTTTATTGGCTGGAAAATGAGTCACGCCACTTAATCAGATATCTATCCGTTGCTGTGTAAGAACTCTAGGTTATGTAAGTTGTTTTTGTAAAACTGATTGTACGTTCCCAGGCATCACATACTATACATGACGTAGAACTTGGCAACTTTAAAATGAGTGGATTTCAACTCCCGGAATTCCTTATGCTGGCTAAGGAATTGTGGGAGTTGAAGTCAGAAACATGGCAAGTTTGAGAAACACTGAAGTGGAGGAAAAGAACTTTTGTTCCTGATCTTGTTGTCAAAACAAATTAAAGATACCTCTTTGTTTGTTTTTTATAATCAAAAGAGAGGATTTATACAGCTGGATGTTCCAAAGTTTTATAGCATAATAAAAAAAGTTTTAAGAAAGCTATGGGGTCCTTGGTGCTCTCTGAGCTTGGTGGTTTTCTTGCAGACATTTAATTATCAAAGTAGATAATATCATTCGAGCTAAAAGGAAGTGGGATTTGCTCTTATTTTTATATATTACCATGTTTTCCCGAAAATAAGACAGGGTCTTATTTTCTTTTGATCCCTGAAATAAGCACTTGGCCTTATTTTTGGGGAGGTCTTATTATTTTGAGGTGTAGGAGGCGATGAGCTGCTCCTCATGGCTGCTGCTGTGTTGCAATATTTTCAGGGAGGGCTTATTTTCAGGGAAACAGGATAGTGTTGGTAGAAGTATTCTCGGTGTTTCTTTGATGGTTCTTTGGTGGTTTTAAGAAAGTTTTTGCCAGAAATTAAATAATAAGAATTACTTGGACTTATTCATTTATTGTGCATATGTTGTATTTTTCTTGCCAAAGAAGCTTATGCAAGCTGCCCATCATTTCATCCCATAAAAGCCCCCTGAGATACATTGGGGTGAAAAGCAGTGGCCTGAAGTGTGCAATTTGATCCTGGTCTTCCTTGTCACTCTGAGTTCAATGCTAAGGTGCTACTTGGATGCCAATGGGGTTGGTGGAGTTCTTGTAATCCAAAGGAGATCTGTTCAGATTAAGTCAAGCCATTCATATTCAGGAATTCGCTTGGCAATTTGAGTGAATTGAGTTCCATAGCTTGTGGTCCCTTGGCAGGTGTGGATGTCCCGGACCTTTCTCCCCTTCTTCTCCACTCAGTTTTCCGAGTTCTCCACTCAATAGCTGCCATTGTTATTTCATTGACCCCACAAAGTAAGGATAAGAAGCTTCACCTCCCTACATACACACCCTATGCGGTTAAGAAAGTTCACGTTCTCAGTTTGTCTTATGACAGAGGTCTCCAACCTTGGCAACGTTAAGCCTGGTGGACTTCAACTCCTAGAATTCCCCAGCCAGCAAATCAGATTTGTGTCATTCTCAACTGCTCTCCGTCAAACAAAATTGGGCGAGGAAGGGGAGTAGAAACTGGATTCACTTAATGATTGTGGTGATTTTCTAAACAGCCATAAAATCAGGCACAACTCATATAATGACTGCATTGCTTAATGACATGAGTTTGGAAACCAATTGTGATTGTAAGTTGAGGATGAGCTGTAGATTGTTTTACTTTCTTACAAATAGTAACCGAGTGACCTGCCATATTGAAAGACCCTGCAGATCTGGGTGGGCAACTAGGGCCCCTTTATGACTGATGGACTTCAATTCCATGTAGGTTCATGTTGAATTCTGGGAGTTGAAGTCCATAGTTCATAAAGTTGCCCTCCACTGCACCACATCATTCTTCTTAGACACCCTGGAATTTCGTCCCCAAATCCTACTTTGATGTAAATTATACCATGTAATTTAATTCTGATATGAGTTACTAGAACATAGGAATGGTGCATTTCTGTCATAGTGGCATGTCGATCTACATAGGTTGAAGATGAGAAATAGTATTAACTGAAGTTTTTTCTAGGTTGTCAATCTCCTTCAGCTCCAGGGATGTCCACAGGCCACATTCCAAAAAGTCAAGAGGGTAGCCACAAGTGCCACATCTGTGGATACCCCTGCTGAGTCCCAACCAGACAAGATAATGATAGGCTCATGAGAATTGCAATCCATCCACAACTAGAGGACTAATATTGTCTCATCGCTCAGAAACTGGCAAATAGCAATTGAGTTAATTGGGATTGATAAATATTATTGGAATGTATTCCAATAATATTTGAATCTAAAAAAAAATCCACTCATTCTGCTGTAAAACCAATAAAATTTGTTTTTAGAAGCAATGATCTTATATTAGACATGATTTATCTGCCAAATGTGTCTCCTTTTCCAGTTTTGAAAAATCTCTTTTTCAGAAGTTTATTTTATGCTGAAAAGGTATTCAATGTTTACTCTTTGTCTTTGGTCTTACTAGTTAACACTGGTCTTTCTCACAATCATTTTTCAACGGTAAACATTTATAAAAACAAAGGTGAGAGGTTGGACATCTTAAAGACTTTATGGCTCCACTACTGACAAAAATGTTGATGAATTGGAATGATCTTGCTGAAGAATTGTTCTCCATACCCATGTTTTCCCGAAAATAAGACAGGGTATTATTTTCTACTGACCCCCGAAATAAGCGCTTGGCTTTATTTTTGGGGAGGTCTTATTATTTTTGGGGTGCAGGAGGCGGCGAACGTGGTCACCTCATGTGTGCTGCTGTGTTGCAATATTTTTTGGGGAGGGCTTATTTTAGCGCATGTGTTCCAAAGCCCAATTGGGCTTATAATCCAGGGAGGTCTTATTTTTGGGGAAATAGGATATTAAATCTGGTCTGATGCCCTAGTTAGGATTCTTATTCCATGGCTGTGTTATTATGGCTCCTTAATCCTAAATGAACCCATGCTTCGTTATAACTGTCACTCCTTCATTCTTTGTTTGTTCTGATCTTCTAGTGCCCATCCCTTCGAAGGCCAATGGGACCACCATCTCTTCCCTGACCATGAACAAGGACACCCTGATAGGAGGGGTGACCAATCCAAATGAAGTCTTCTGCTCCGTTCCTGGACGATTGTCCCTCCTCAGCTCCACCTCCAAGTACAAAGTGACAGTCGGTGAAGTTCAGAGGAGACTCTCACCCCCAGAATGTCTCAACGCTTCTCTCCTTGGTGGTGTCCTTCGGCGGTAGGAATTCACAATGTCCACTTGTTTCATTTGTTAAATTGTGATTGAAGGGTGTCTGTTTCCACAGTCGTGAATTTGCGATGGATGACATATAAACTGAATAAATAAGTAATTAAAAAACAAATGAGAAGCTGTTCAGCCAAAGTATCTTGGTAAAATCTTACCCAGAACAAATTGCCCGCAGGTTTACAGGCCTTTATAGGACTATATAGATAGTCCTAGGGCCTAGACAAGGGATGCAGTGGCTCAGTGGCTAAGATGCTAAGTTTGTCGATCAGAAAGGTTGGCAGTTTGACAGTTCGAATCCCTAGTGCTGCGTAATGGAGTGAGCTCTTGTTACTTGTCCCAGCTTCTGCCAACCTAGCAGTTTGAAAGCATGTAAAAAATGCAAGTAGGAAAATAGGAACCACTTTTGGTGAGAAGGTAACAGTGTTCCGTGCACCTTCGGCATTGAGTCATGCTGGCCACATGACCATGGCGACGTCTTCGGACAGCGCTGGCTCTTCGGCTTTGAAACGGAGATGAGCACCACCCCCTAGAGTGGGGAACGACTAGCACATATGTGTAAGGGGACCGTTACCTTTACAGTATATAGGTAGTCCTAGGACCTAAACTTACAAGTGTAATTGAACCCAGTATTACAATCATAAGTTGTGGTGTCCAACAGTGAGTCACCACGTGCCTGATTTTACAATCTTCTTTGCAGTGGTCATTAAGCAAACACCATAGTCATTAAGTGAACTCCACAGTTATTTAATGAGCATCAGAATTGTTAAATGGATTCATTTGACTCAGTGGGCATTTTTTTGCTAGAAACTGGAAGCAAACATTGGAAATTGGCAAGAAACACCCAAAAGTGCAGTCATTTAACCATGGGACATGGCAACCAGATGTATATGGAAGATGATTGCCAAGTGCTAAAAATGGGATCACATGACCATGGGGTGGGGGGCGCAGTCATTAGAAGTCCACAACTGAGCTCAGGGGTGGTCTGGTGTAATTTGAATAGTTGCTAAGTGAGCAGGTAAGCAAGCACCATCTGTATGTGTTTTTTATATTAATTCTGATGCATATAAGAAGTCATTACCAAACCATGAATCCCTATCATAATTTAATTGCAAAGTTTACAAACAGTCCTATGACTTTTCCTAGAATTGTTGAAGAACAGATTTTGGAAATTAAGGGTGATTTTGTTCCTTACTTAGTTTTTTGGTTTTTTTTTAAATCTCCTTCAGATTGTTTCATTCTTCTGCTTTCCTGTTTTAGGGCAAAATCTAAAAATGGTGGAAGATGTTTAAGAGAAAGGTTGGAGAAGATAGGGTTAAATCTACCCGCTGGAAGGCGCAAAGCAGCAAACGTCACCTTATTAACGTCCCTGGTGGAAGGTAAGATTATTTATGTTTGACCTGTCTTTTGGGGTTAAGTAGGGATTTAAAATGTCCTTATTTTACATTAAACCAGAGGTGGGTTCCTGCCGATTTGGACCTGTTTGGCCGAATAGGCAGTCTGGATCGCTGGAACTGGCAGCGACCCAGGCCTGCCATGCACCCGAACCGGTTCTCCTACAGCGCCGCCATCTTGATTTTCGGTTCTGCACATGTGCAAAACATTTTTCATTGCAGAAATGTATTTTTCCCTTTTTTAACGCACACACAGACATTTTCAGGTGCAAATACGAACGCACAGCAAATTTTTTTGCGCACCGAACTGGCAGTAATGGCGGCAGCAAGCCACCCCTGATTAAAATCCATTTTGAATGATTTCTCTAACACCCTGGCTGATGGATTGACTGCCTGCCTTCAGCCCTGCATCACTTTGACTCACCTTTTCAAAGGCTGCACAGAAAGAATTAAAATTAAAATACCAAATTAAAAAAATAACTTTAGGAAGAAAATAAAATAGATCAATTTTAAAAAAGACAGAAATTGGGTTATCTGAAATATATGGAGGAGCCCCGACACGTCAACCCTGGTCACGCCTCCTCCCTGCCCCCCAAGGCCAAACACCACCCTATTGCGGCCCGCAATGAAATCAAATTTGAGACCCCTGCCTTAAAGCAAGAGCGAGCCATCTATAACCTATTTTCCACAATCTGGCAGCCAAACATGGATGAAATGGAGGCATGATTTCTACTGACCTTTGCAAAGAAATAGCAGTAAAACTGTGCAATCCGTGAGGCAGAATTTGCATTATTTCCCCTCAAATAAAACATGCATGCGATACAAACCCTCACCCAAGAGTGTAATCACTGCCTTGCTGCTCTATCACTGCAGCCAATTCTAAAAGTTTTCTTTGGTGGCATCCATAATCTGGGTGCCACCTATGAAGAGCACGTATAACAATGTCCCCTAAGAACACAACGTGTTACAGAGACAAGTTCTCAGAGATGGATGCAATTAGCGGTGTTGATATGGAACAGAGTCCTTCACACATCTTAACCCAAAATCATTAATCACAGGGACAGGCAATTTGGTGGTCTCCAGAAGTTTCGGACTTTCATTCCCATTAGCCTCCGGCTGTAGGAGCACTGACAATCAACTGTGGGAATTATAGTCCAGAGCATATGGAGGACAGAGGGTTGACGGGGAAAGCAAGGATACCGAAGTCCTCTAGAGGGCATCTCAACTGTAAAATCACTGCAGTCTGGACTTCTCTTCTCCTGCACCACGCCATGGTATTGCCATGAAGAGAAATGGACTTCAAAGGACAGCCTGTTTGGAGAGTGTATCAGAAAACCATTGTGATCAAACAGACTGTGAGAAAGAAATTGTCTTTGACCTTAATATTAATGGCAAAGATTATGTCTAGTTTAATGAAAAGAAGGACTAGAGGTGACATGATAGTGGTCTTCCAAGAATCTAATGGGCTGCCACAAGGAAGAGATGATCAACCTGTTCTCCAAAGCACCTGAAGGCAGGACAAGAAGTAGTGGATGGAAATTTATTAAGGAAACAAACTAGAAATAAGAGGACATTTCCTGACAATGAGAACAATTGACCAATGGAACGGCTTGCCTTCAGAAGTGGGTGCTCCATCGCTGGAGATTTTAAAGAAAAGATTGGACAACCATTGTCTGAAATGGTAGAGGTTTCCTACTTGAGGGTTGGACTAGAAGACCTCCAAGGTCCCTTCCAAATCTGTTATCCTGTTCTGTTCTGTACCCCTGGCTTTCTACTTTGTTCATGGGAAGCTTGAAGAGGTCCTCCAAATTTCTTTTGGTAGTGTTTTTAAACTGATTAGATAGTATATAGGCAGTTCTCAACTTATAACCATTCACTTAGTGACCATTTGAAGTTACAATGGCACTATGGGAGGATTTACAACCAGCCCTATCACTTATGACCATCTAAGCGTCCCCACAGTCACATGTTCAACATTTGAGTGCTTGGCAACCGACATGTGTTTATGTATTTATATTATTAAAAATTTATTATTATTATAAGTATTATTATTTGCAGCATCCCTGGGTCACGTAACCCAAGGACGCTGCAAACAAGATTTGCAACCTTCCCAGTCGGCTTCCAACAAGCAAAGTCAATGAGAGAAGCTAGATTTGCTTCATGACTGCCTGATTCATTTAACAAATGTAGTGATTCGCTTAACAACCGAGACAGAAAAGGTTGTAAAACTGGATGAGATTTATTTAACAACTGCCTGGCTTAATAATGGACATTCTGGTTGCAAGTCAAGAACTGCCCATAGTGGTAAGGACTGATCATTGCAATTGTTTTGGGGTGTGTTGAGAAGTGGAATTCAGCCGGTTCTCTCCGGTTCGGGAAAACCGATAGTGGTGGCTGTGGGAGGCTCCATCCACCTGCCCCGACGTAATGCGCGAGCAATGCGCATGCGCAGAAGACTGGCAAGTAGAGGATCGCCTGTAGATAAAAAAGCAGCATGCTGCTTCCATCCCGGACAATTCAATGTTTTCTTCTTGGAAAGCGAATGCCCTTTGACCAGATTGAGTGAGAAGCGGTGAGGGGGAAGAAAAGACTGCAGGATTTCTCCGCTTGTCACAAGTCCCGTCGGAGGAGTCCGTCACCTGGACAGCTTCGATGTGAAACGCCACGATGTGTAGAAAGGCCATCCTCGCGTATGGGACAGTTCTGTGATCTATTGTGACCGAAAGGCAGCTGCTGGAGAAGAACAGAAGGAAGCCCCTTCGCTTTGTTGGCAGCAGATGAAATGGGGTGTTGCTGAGGTTGTTCTTGAAGGCAGCTTTAGGACTGGATGTTCCTGAATGGTTTATTTCCATGAGAGGAAGAGGAGGAGGAGCAGGAGGAGGAGGAGAGCAGGGAAACAAGCATTTTGGGCTCAGCCCAGACAGCTGGGAGCTGTCACTGACTGCTGATCAGGGGGGTCAGTATAAATGACAGATGATAGCTTGTTTGCCCCGAGGACAATAAGCCCTACCCCACGAAGCGTGGCCCTTCCTTTGAGGAATTCTTAAAGGCAGCTCTTTACAGGCAGGGCTCTTCAGGATGAATGAACTCCAGGAAAGTGCATTTAGGGTGGGTGGGCTGGATGATTTTCACCCCTAGTTAACACTTGCAGGCCAGGGGGTGGGTGGGCAACATAAACGCCTCCTATTTACTCTCCCAGCCTTTCCAACGAAGGACATTGAAATAGATGAGGGTCTTTTCAAATGAGACCATCATTTTGCATTGCTGCATAAATACCCCAGCATGCTTTGGTCCAGCATTTCCTCTTATTTCCTTTTGTTTGTCTCCCCCAAACATGAAGGTGTTTCTTGGATGAGAAGTGAAATGTCTTCAAGGGAAAACAAAACAAAAAGTCCTATTGCCTCTTGAGGAAAAAAAAAAGCACCTTTGGGACAACCATGACTTGGATGACTGAGAATCTCCATCAACTTTTGTTTGTTTGTTTTGCTTTTCAGAAAGGCTTGGCTAGCTTTGAAGCACCTCCAAATCTTATGTTCATGGAATGGCCTTCTTTTGGGAAAAGCAGTCTGCCCTGTTAGCATTCCTATAAAGTGTTAACAATCCACCCCACCCCCTAAAGTCTATGTTAAGTAAAGAAGAATAGAAGCGGAACTTACAGGCTATTAAAACAGATGAAATCTATTTAAATGCCCCAAGTAGCTTTGCTTGTCAGAAGGGTCCGTAGGAAAGCTGGAGAGATTGTTGCAGTTTGGATTCCTGCACTGAAAGATCGGATGGACTCAAGGTTGCCTCCCAATTCACAGATCTGATGAACCTGCAAGTCTAATTTATCATTTGATACAGACAATTGTGGAATGAAACACTGGACGCTCCCACAGGACCCTTGGCTATCTCATCTTTTGCGGAGGGCAGGCAAAATCCTCCCAGGCCATCAGGAAATTTTCTCCCAAATTCTCTTTTCAGATGAAGCCTTTGCAATCCAGTACGAAAAAGGGCATAGGGCATTTTCTGCAGGGCATTTCTCCCAGGCCCTGTGCATGGGCACCAGTACTGGCTTAGGGTAGGGAGTAGGGAGTAACATCTGCTACTTCTGTTATGCGCTGTTCTGACCTAGGCTTCCCAAGAGCATGAAGCAAATTCCTGGTCCCGACAAAAAACCCTTTTATTAATTGACTGTGAATTCTGCTCATTCACATACAGCAAAGTATTTCAAAGCAGGATTTACAATCACAGACCTTATCTGGCTTGGAGAGCTGCCATGCCAA